AGCCAGCCATGCTGGCTGGGGGATTCTGGGAGTTGAAGTCCACCTATCTTCAAGTTGCCAAGGTTGAGAAACACTACTTTAGAGCAAGGACTCTAAATGTGGGGTGGATGGATTTCAGAGCACCTCTGAACTTGCATGGGGAAAAATGCAACTTTAGTGTCACTAACCTCTAATTAAAATTTAGCTTTTCATTCAATGATGGACAGAGTCAGCCAAGTAATCCATGGCCTCTAGACTCCAAAAAAGTCTGTTAACTTCTATAAATCTCTTATTATTCCCTAAAAAAAGGGTATTGTCTTATTACTGATTTGATGGATCCATAAAGGAGCCCCTATATTACTATATTATATTTTTTATATATTTTGATAACTCTGTTTGAGCACAATTGGCTTCCTTTGTAATACGATCTGCAGCTCTGTATTTTGTCTGATGCCTTTAAATGCGTTTATGTACGTTTTGCCAGACTCCCTCGCACAAAAAGATTAAGAATCTGCTTTAGACATAAACGTTCCTGTTCTCCCACTTATTCCACCCCATAATAGTGCCCAGATGGAATTGAAACAAGACACCTTTGAATGTGAGCTGTGTGGATTAACCGCCCCCTACAGCTACTATGGACAGCAACCTCCAAACGCCTACTCCGTCACGTAAGTAGATGGCCTGGCTCATCTTTTCTCACCACACGTGACCCGTATTGTGGAGGACTCAGCAGGGGAGCCCAAACTTTCAAGGAGAAGCACTGCTGATCTCCAGGGATCCTCCTGGCAGCAAAGGTAGATCCCAGAGGGAGAGCAGTGGGGCGGAGTGGGTGAAGAAGAGGCCTGCTTTCTGTCTCATTCTGGCCCACTTCTTTCCCCCTTCACGCTCTGGGTTGGCACCTCGCTAAATGGGACAAGGAAGGAGAACTTCCTTCTCTTCCTGCTTCTGAAAATTGTGACTCCCAGCTATCAATGTCCTGAATTTGAAAACGAGTGACCCAAAAGTTGAAGCACAGATGTGGCAAACGCCCACTTCAGAATGGGCATCTGGGCCAAGACCTTGGTGGGCCTGCTCACCGAGTGAACCCTTGCTGGCCAAGCCTGATGGGTGTCTGAATCAAGTATAAGGATAGTTTCCTTTTCATGGGAGGAACTTATATTTGGTATGGGTCCAGAACAAAATTGTGCGCTCTGTCCTCCACACTGAAGTTCCTGGGAGATGCTAGTTTTGGTCATGTCTGGATGGAGCCCTATTTGGGGATGTAGAAGGCTTTATGGAGCAAACTCAGTGCCTTAAGGCTCCATTTGGCCTCTTCAGATCCTCTAAAACAGTATTTTTCAAAGTTGGCAACTTTAAGATGTGTGGACTT